ATGCCATACGCTCAGGTCACCACGGCGCCTCCCGGCGTGTCGACGATCGGACTCATTGACTCCAAGGCTCACGGGCATTGGCTTTCGACTTCGAGTCGGGGAGTTCAGATCGCGACTTCTCTCTCCAGCAGCAGGACAGCAACTCCTCCCCCAAGTTCTGCCTTCCAAAAGGGAAAAGGCCGTAACATCCGCCTCCACGCCCGGCGCTGATGCTGCCGTGACGCCGCCGGGCTCGGGGGAAGCGCGGCGCCAGCGCGTCGCTTGCCTGCAGGTTTAACTCTCTCACTCGCGCGTTCCTCCCCTTCTCTCCGTAAAAAGCTCCTTTACCGGCAGGGTTGGCCGTGCCTCTGTTCTCCGCGTGAACGCGGGTCGCATGCCAAGTATTCGTGGAAATGTGCGTGTAGCATTTGAATTTTCTCTGCCAAGTGTTTGTGGAAATGTGCGTGTGGCATTTGAATTTACTCTCGGCCCTCTCAGGCTACAGTGAGTCGGCCACCTCTCCTGCACTACTTTGCCATCTTTATTTTTGTGGCGATGATGTATCGCCTAATCTGCTATCGTCCTTCTTGAATGTACAATATTGATGTGTCGCCTAACCCGCTAATCGTCTTTGAATGTACAATATTATCACACCACGTGTTTGGTGTCGTTATGTAGTTTATTCTACACCTGCTGCGGCCACGTCATTGTGAGCCTTAAATAACTAAACCATATTAGGAAGAAAGAAGAAAAATAAGTGGATAAATTTAATGTAGAAAGCGAAAGGGAGAGGGGAATCATGTGAAGCCTCTCGTCACCTGATAAGTTTGACTAATGCTGGTTTGTTGTGAGAGAAAAACCAACTAATAAGTCCTGGCTAAAACCAACAAGCAATCAAGCTGTCTGTAAACAAACTAAGGCATGTCAACACCTCAACAGGACAACCGGTACACGTCGATGTAATATGAGGGACCAGCTTATGGATCTTTCTGTGACTACTACAGTTTTTGCCTAGTCCGACATTCCAGCCCTGGCCACAATTAGGTTTCTCTAATTCGACTGTCACACGCACCTGGTTCTTGTTGCTCCCGTTGTTTCTTCCTCAACCTCCTGAGCTCAGCTGCGACTGCCATGGATTCCAAACCCATGTTAGTTTTCTTGCCTGTCTCACTTTCTGTTCTGTTTCTCCGTGCTGTTTGCTGGCCTCTCTTGTTTGTTTGTTTGTGTTACTGTTGATTTGATCTCTTGTTCTTGTTGAGAAAGCAAGTAGACAGGTGAAAGGAAAGGTTCAGTACAATTTGCAATAATTTTGACATTCGTATATTTGGGTATGATGCGCTCTGCCTCCATTTTCCCCTTTTCTTCAGAATAATTCTCTCATTGTTCTTGTTCAGGGAAGCATTTGTGGCAAGTGAGGCCTCCGTCTTCATGAATCAGCCCCCTCCACATGTATGTATGCTGATGAACTGGTCTCCTTTTCTGCTATTCTTGCACCTTTTGCCTCTTATTTATAGTATAGGCATAAGACTGATTTTAGGAGACTTCAATCTAGTCGGTGGAAGGAACATCATAGAAGAAATAATATACACTTCTTAGCCCATGGCTTTCTTTTATTTTAAGTTCACTTTCTTAATAAGGTTTCTATGAGTCGCGCATTTCTTACAACCTTTGCTGAAAGTTTATTTAACATTTTTGATCACCTTAGCTGAAAATCCAGAAGTTTCCAGCTCTGTCAAGCTTCAAAGTATGGCGACAGTAGCAGTCCTGTTTTAATTAATGCAAAACCCTGAAATTGTTTGCTGAGTCTGAGATATATAATGGAATCTGCACTAAGTTTATAACAGAGGTTTCAGGCTCAGCCATATCCTCAGTCTTCATGTGTTTGCTTAACAATTGAGAGTTGAAATTTATGAGGTAATATTATGATACATTAGCAATATGAATGATGCGATGAGGCAACCGCAGAATTATCAGTTTTTGTCATGCAACCCCAGAACAGCACTGTTGCATGTTGACATCGTATTTCAGTTACTTGATTGCATTAAGTTTTAGGATCTAAATATTTCTAATGTTTTTGTATCTCATGGATATATTTCTATAATCCTTAATGCATTCTGTGAGAGAGCATGACAACTGTATTTTCTCTCTGTACGTGCAGATGTCTAGACCATCAATTATTATCAAGCTCATTTTGGGGTTGCTGTGGACCATCACCCACTTAGCAATCAGCTTTTTAAATTTATGGTCTCATCTGATTTATAGTCTAGAATGCTATCTTATTTCATCTGGATTGTTGCGAAAGTATCAGAATCTTCATCTGGGTAGACTGAAGTGCTTGGCTATTGTGGTAGATAGCAAAGAAGCTAAAAGTACTGTGAAGGTCAAGCAACTGTTATGCTGGCTCTCATCTATGGGTGTGAAGTATGTATGTCTCTATGACATCGAGGGTAAGACAATGAGTTCAACATTTGAATTGCAGGGTATGGCTGTTTTCAGTCTGAAGTTTGTTGTTGACTACTTATCTGCCTATATGATCATTCCTTTTCTGTAAATAAATATGGTTCATTAGAAATCAAATGACTTCAAGAGGCATTACAGAGCTGTCATAACCTGGGCAGAGCAAAACTAACTTTCCTGTTATCCTTTACATGTCATATTGTGATGTTTTTAGTTGACAGATGCACAATCTTTTTTTCTTTTGAGACCTATAGACTAAATCTAGCACGTACAAGATTATCTTACACTATTCTATGTTGCATCATAGGAGTACTGAAGAGATCATTTGAACCTGCTGTGAATGTTTCAAGAGATAGGACTGCAGGAGAACATTTTGTAAGCTGCACTACGGAGCTTTCTGCTACTCCATTTTATATTAGGATCTTACTTTTGTGTATATTCTCTACTGGTATGCTTGTCCATTTTGTTGTTGTTGTTTGTAAATCTGTATTATGATTCATGGTGACATATAGGGCATTGGAGCAAACATCAAAGATCTACACCGTAGCCAAAGAGAGATGGTGATAGACTGTCTTTCTGGTTCTGATGGCAAGGAGGGTATTGCAAAAGCAGCCAGTTTACTTTGCTCGACTTACTTCAATGGTGATACTCATGGAGATGGCAAAAGGAAACCAGCATTTACAGAAGCTGACATGGCTAGTGCACTGAAAGCTGTAGGTATGCTTGGAAAAGTCACCCTTTTCTGCATGCTTTGTTTCATATACTTATTTAGTTATTTATCATGCTTTAATGACTTTATCACTTAAGTTCTGACTTCATCCGTTAGGTTGTGGTGGACCAGAACCTGATCTTCTTCTCATGTATGGTCCTGCTAGATGCCATTTAGGATTTCCTGCATGGAGATTACGGTATACTGAAATTACGTAAGTTCTTTATCAAAACATTAATATTCCTAACTGCGAAAATAATCATCACAATTGACAAATCTCCAGGTATATCACCACAATTGACAAATCTATAATATTTCTTGTTCCAGGTATATGGGGCCACTAAAATCAATGAAATATGGTGCCATTGTGAAAGCCTTATATAACTTCTCAAAGAAACACCAAAATTATGGTAAGCTTGCTTTTCCATATTTGCAATGTACTACACTGAAATTAACCTTTAGCGTTATAACTTCAACATTTTCGGCTGTGTCATAAATTTTTCTTCTTATAGGAGTTCTAGCTCTGCCTTGAAGTGTCCTTTGTTATCAGTTTTGCAGATACGCTACACTAACTAGGGTTGCACATGCTTTGTAAATGTGCTGGCAACATGAGTGTGCTCTGCTCTGCCAAAGGGCGCCTAGCTCAAACGGTTAGGTGACCCAGTGGCACTCCTCAGTCCTGAGTTCGACTCCCGTGGGAGCGAATTTCAGGTTGAGGTTAAAAAAAATCCCTCATCCGTTCCCATAACCAAAAGCACTGGGGGGCACCGGCTCAATTCTCACTTGGGTGACGGAAAGTCACCGTGTAAGGGTGGGTTCGAGGGTTCGGGGGTTTTCTCGGCCGGGTGAGAAGGTCCTTCTTCTTATTTGTAATGTTGCGGGGGCAGTCTTAACCCCCCGGTCGAGTTTTTTTTTTTTTGTGCTCTGCTCTCACTTTTTCTGTGGTTCCCACACATGTCTTGTGAGATCTGAATATCTTAGGCATTAATGTGTATCTGGTGAGATCTAAATATCTTCGGCGTTGATGTGTGGAAAACAGTGTCCCTGAATGTGCTAGCACATTTTGATGCCTGATTAGTTAGTGATTAGGAATAAATATTTGCTCTTTGGCTGACTCCAAATCTTTTCCATCTCAGGGAAATGATATTTGATACTGGTTTAAAGAAACCATTTGATCATGGAGAAACAACACCTTGGAGCTACTCTACAGTCTGCACCCGTTAGCTTCTGCTGCTGCTTACTGGAGTACAGAAGTACTTAACGTTACGTTAGACATTACCATCGACATGGACTTCGTGTTTGCTTGTAACAAGATCAAAAGTGTGTTGTCGATAGAACATACATACGGGATAACATCCCACTGTAAAAGTACCACCCATAGCGATGAGCAATGAAAGAACCACAAGAAACCTAACCATCTCATCTAATTTTGCCTATGCTATGATTCCTAATGATTTATCTGCTTTTGTTGGATTACTACGGCACTGTCCATGACAATCTTTAAAAAGGAACGATATTGAAAATGAATTAACCTGGGGAATGGAATTAGAAGAAATTGCCCTGTTCGCTTGGCTGATAAGCCATGGCTGAAAGTACTGTTGGTTGATTTGTTGTGAGAAAAAAAATACTATTCGTTGATTGAAAAAATATGACTTGTAAGACATGTGAACAGGACGATTTAGCCGTGTTCTGTTTGCTTTCAGCTGGGACTGGGTGAGCCTGGTACCGAGTGAGACTGACCGGGCTCGTCTCTGGCTCTCTGCCTCTCTGGTCTCTGCTCGTCTCCAACCTTGAGACTCTAGAGCCCACCAAACCCAAAGCCCTGGCCTCTCCGTCCCTGCCCGGCCGTCCCCACATGTCGTCGCAGTGCCCCTACTGCCGCGCGTCGGGGCCGGCGCGGTGCGCGACGACGCAGCCGCCGCTCTCGCGCGCCGTGTCCGAGTGCTCCGCCTGCGCCCGCATCGTCGTCGAGCGCCACCTCCACACGCACCCCTTCTTCCCCCTCCTCCCCTTACTCCATCCGCTTCCCCTAGTCACCCCCGACCTCGCCACCGCCGTCGATCCCGCTCCCGCCCCCTCCCCCGGAGACGAAGATGACGAGGACCCCTTCCTCCCCGCGGGCTTCGTCTCCGCCTTCTCGGCTTTCTCCCTCGAGCGCCACCCCGTCCTCGCCCGCTCCGCCTCCACCTTCTCCGGCCTCCTCGCCGAGCTCGAGCGCGCGCTCGCCGTCGACTCCGCCGCCGCGGCCTCCAATCCGGACCCCGCCGGGCCCATGGTCTCCGTCGAGAACCTCCGCGCCTACCTCCAGATCGTCGACGTCGCCTCCATACTCAAGCTCGACAGGGACATAGCCGACCACGCTTTCGAGCTCTTCAAGGATTGCTCGTCCGCGACCTGCCTCAGGAATCGGAGCGTCGAGGCGCTCGCGACCGCAGCGCTCGTTCAGGCTATCCGCGAGGCGCAGCAGCCTCGGACGCTGCAGGTTTGTTTGTGATTCGCACACGCACGCCATGTGTTTGTTCTATTGCTCTAGTGCAGCAGAGATGGGTATGCCTAGCTGCGAAAGCATAAGCATGCGTTTATTCAAACAATTCGTATTTAGTACTGGTTATTATATGGATAATTATAGTTTTGGAAACACCAAATCTTGCTGTTACTCTAGATTTGATTTCTTGGAATTGGGAATTGTGTGAGTAAACTCAAATATGCTAATGGATTCAATTCTAAAAGATATTACTGGTTATTATATGGATAATTATAGTTTTGGAAACACCAAATCTTGCTGTTTCACAAGATTTGATTTCTGGGAATTGGGAATTTTGTGAGTAAACTCAAATATGCTAATGGATTCAATTCCAAAAGATGTGCTACTTTCCAGCATACTCCCTCCATCCCAGAAATAAGTTCGTTTTGGACATGATTTAGGATACCAAGGAGTGATTTATTGGGGTGTATTTTTCCCTGTCTACCCTTATTAAATAGAGTTGCGGGTATCCTCCATACAACAAACGTTTCCAGCTGGAGTGGTAAGCACACCACGGCCTGAGGCAGGAGATCACGGTTCAATCTCTCTCAGCCTCTGTTTTTTTGCAGAGCTCGCGATTGCGCGGGCTGCTGGCTGCGTTAATTACGGCCCAGGAAACGAAGAGGCTCGTTAATTACTGCCGAAACGAAGAGGCCGTGCCGGGGGCAAACTAGGCCCATTTCAGCTTGGACCACAGAAAACGAATTCATTTGTGAAAAAGCTCCAAAGCTTCAGAACGAATTTTTTTGTGGGATGGATGGAGTATTGAAATAGCCCACCAAAGTCACCGAGTTAATTAGTGTTAGATCACCGGAATTCAGTGTCCTTTTAGCCATCATATCTAGTTATCTACCATGATGTTGTGCTTGCCATTAACATTGATGGAAAAAAAAAACTTAGTTACCTCACTGTATGTAGACTGATGTTGTAGCTAATACTTATCAGGGTATCTTTAACCCTGTTGTGAATACCTGAATTCATCACAAACCATTTTAATGTTGCTTCATTGACAGCCAATGAACCAAATGCTTGTCCGCTCGGTTATGTTTGATTTTTTTACACAAACACTTGATGTAGCATGCATTTTCGCTTAATGCATATTGGTTGATTAGACATTGTCTGCTACTTAGGCAAGACCCAAGAGATCTCTATGATAACAATCTACCTCAGAAATAGATAGCAGGAAAAACTTTTAAAATACCTGACAAATATCTGAAACTTGGTATACTATTCATGTCACACTAATTTTATCAATCACTACCAATTCACCTTCTGCTTCTATTTGAACAGGAAATCTCTACTGCTAGCAATCTACCTCAAAAAGAGATAGGAAAATACATCAAAATACTCGGCGAATCTCTGAAACTGAGTCAACCACTTAACAGCAACTCAATAGCTGTCCATATGCCCCGATTTTGCAGTTTGCTCCAGCTGAATAAATCTGCTCAGGTACCAGATGATCTGAAAAACCTGTTACTGAAGCATTATGCTGAAAACCAATATCCGTTTTTAATATATTGTATGTCGAATCTTCAGGAACTTGCAGCTCATATTGGTGAGGTGGTTGTTAATAAGTGCTTCTGCACACGGCGGAATCCCATAAGTATATCTGCTGCTGCTATCTACCTTGCATGTCAGCTTGAAGACAAACGCAAAACTCAGGCAGAGATCTGTAAGGTTACGGGCCTCACAGAGGTCACACTACGCAAAGTGTACAAAGAACTGTTGGAGAATTGGGATGATTTGCTCCCCCCTGACTATACACCTGCCACACCACCAGAGAAAGCTTTCCCCATGACCAACATTTACTCAGGGCGCTCAGCAAGTGGCAAGGATCTGTATCAGGATAAGATATTCGAGAGTATTAAGCAAAAATGCCCTGAGCCTGCAGAGCCTGACCACATGGTCATCGTGAAAGAAGAGGAAGACAAGAAAACAATTGCTCTTGGTCGTCCACCTACAAAACCTGAGGCTCATGAGTTAGGCAAGGTGTTCCGGCCACCAAATGCCCCTTTCTCAACATCTCCTAAATCTGATCGTGACAAAACTGAAACTAGCGTTCGTGGGTTCAACCTTAATGAGGTATCATGTGCGATGGATTCTGATAGAACAGACATCACAGTGAAGCCAACTTTCGGTGATCGATTGTCGAATGAATCGAATGCGATTCCATCTCCCAACAGGCAGCCTTTACCGTGGCAGCTTAAGCAGGGGGCGCCTGCAACTGGTCCATCATATTCAAGGCTTCGCGAGCAGCAGTCGGGCCTGGATCTTGTAGCTGCTCTGAAGGGAATTGGGAAAAGGAGTGCTGGGGATGGTGGTGATGGCCGGGATAGAGAAGGGAAGTGAATAGTTGGTTCTTTGTTTTTGTAGATGTATGTCTGTAGTAGAGTTAGTTTGGCCACCTCTATGGCTCTTGTCATTCTGTATTTCTTTCGCACCCTGCCGAGGCTGTGAAACGTTACTCCAGATGCTTTAGCTTCTGTAGTAAAGTTTCCGAATTATTTACCTGACTAATTTATCACTATGTTTCGTGCAATGAAATGTAGTTCCTGTAATCCTATTATTTGAGCACTGGTATGCCCGTATGGACAGTCTATCCAGGCAAGAAGGTAACTACTGATTGTTCCTTTCCTTCAGACGATGAAGTTTATGCCAGCCAGATCGACACCGTAACTTGCATAGTTTTATCTGAAGTCACAGTAATATCCAATTCCATGATCTTCTTTGAGAGTAATGCTAGAGGAGATAAAACTCATCCAAGTTTGCCCTGGAGCCAGCAAAAATCCAGACACCTCGCTTTGAAAGCAGCAAAGCTGGAGGGGCTCAAGCGCAAATGCCCCCCGAATCGGATAATACGCCGCGATAGCGAAGCAGAGGTCTTCCAAAACCCAACGCGGCGAACGGCTACTGCTCCTTCCTCTCCTCTTCCCCTCTCCCTCCCCTCCGCCATGGCCGTCCCCATCTCCACCTCCACCTCCTCCACGCTCCCTCTCTTCTTCCTCCATCGCGGCACCTCAAACCCTAGCCCCGCGGTTCTCTCCTTCCCGTCCTCCCTCCGTGGCGTGTCCCTCCGCTCCCAGGCCGCCGCCGCACCGCCTGCAGAGACCCTTTCTGACGACGGCATCCCTGACGCGCCACCGGTACGTGACTATACTGATATTGCCGTGTGGTTTCGAGCACGTGGAGTCCAAAACCTGTGAGTTTCATGGTGGCGGACCGGCGTGTAGCGGTGTAGGTATACGCGGTTCCAGGAATTCCGCGTGGGCTCTGGGGGTTACAATCGGCATTGGTTCAGTTCGCACCCGTTAGACCTTGTTCATTCGGTGACTAAAATCGATACTCTTTCAGGAAGGGGAGGGAACGGGAATTCCGTTGCCATCGTCGATTGGGGATGATGGGGAGCAGGTACATTTCCTAACAGCTAAAAATTCTCAAATTATGTTACTGAATCTTTTGTTCTAATATTGTTGCTGCCATGATCGATTGAACTGTGAAAAGTTATTACTCCATATAACATGTTTCTCTTTTATTGCTGCATTGTAGTGCACATTTTATTTGTAACTGTATAATCACTATAAATGGAGAGGATGATGTACTCAGGGTATCTGTGTAAGTAGCATTTAGAAATGGGTCAGGATGCAACGATGCTACTTGGCATGGTTACATTAGTGGAGTGAATTAATCCCCTTACTCAAGCTTTCTTTGGAGTGTTAGAAAAATGATAGACAATATCACAGTCAGTGCATTTGTTTAAGCCGTTATTCTTACTGTAAACTATTGTTCATGTGAGTGCGATTTGGACTTCAGAAATGTATGCTTTGTAAAAGTCCATATCATGTTAGACAGTTTAGCATCCTTAATGCTTAAGTTATGCATAGTTACCAGCACACGATTGAAGAGACTATACATGAAATATCATTTAGTCTGTCCTTCAAATCATTCCTATTGAACTGGAATGGGGATATCTGAGGGTCTATGGCGGTGTACCTTTCCAGATTCAACTTAGCACTTGAAAGCTTGCTTGATGAAACTTTCAAAGTTTTCTGCCTATTAATGCTCTATTCCTGCTTGGAATTATTTGGTGTAATTGAAAAATGGTGGCACCAAGTGTTAATCAGTATAAGAGATGTCCACATGTCCAACGGCCAATGCTCTAAACAAGTAGGGATCCAGAGCAGTGGAAAAAACAATGTCTAATCAGTAAGAGATGTCCACATGTCCACTAGTAGTAGGTTTATTCCTGTCATTTTTCGTGTGTGTTTTGGTTTAGTTTCCTGCTACTGTATGGTTGTTCTTTCATTCAATATATAAACAATAGAGCAACTTAAGACACAGGGAGAAGGATATGTTTATTCCTTCTCCTTTGCTCTAAGTGCTTGAAGCCTTGAAGTCCCCTAATTAATTTGTAATAGGGAAAATAGGAACTCTTGCATTGAATCAAGATAAAGGGAGAAGGATATGCACTATTTGTTTTGATGGGACCTGATTATAAGGTGTTGATTAAAGGTCTATGCATGTACTACCATTGCTACAGTTGTACTAAATACAAGTATAGATATTCTATCCTAGTTGTGCAAGCTGTCATAGGCATGCGAGTTTTGTGTAATAAGTACAATTGTATAAAATATATTAGAGACAAACATATGTATAGCAATATCTCACTTTTTTCTCAGATAAAGGAAAAAATCCAGCTTCATCTCTTGTGACCAAGAGAATCAGACCAATTATTACACCAAAATTAATTAATAATAAAACGTGGCTGACTCATGACTCAAGCCTGGTATTGTTTGGTCATACAAACGAAGCAAAGAAATACATAGCGGCCATCTCACTGCTCGGCAAACACAGAGGATGCATTCCTTGTTGTTGCCACATGCCACCTCGCTGTAATTGCGCCCACTGCTGTAACCAAAGTGTTCCCCTGAACAGTTAGCAATATCTAACTGTGTGGTTGTGTTTAAAATTCGACAAGTTATGCCATTCCTCTTGCTTGTATAACTTGGAACCTCCTTGGTACTGTCCTTAAACTGTTGGAGTTGGAGTGGCTTCCTCCATTCTAAAATAGATGTTGTCAATGTATGTGCTCAACCTTTTATACTTGTATAAACTTATTTACTTTTCTCACATGGAAATGGTCAATTCAGAAAAAAGGACAAAGGTGTGTTTTGAAGACATGTCAAAAATGACTATTAAGTACTCCCTTTGTTCCAAATTGTAAGTTGTTCTGGCTTTTCTAGATACACAATAAAAACTATGTATCTAGACATAGTATATACCTAGATGCATAGCAAAATCTATGCACCTAGAAAAGCCAAAACGACTTACAATTTGGAATGGAGGGAGTATCAAAACAGAACAAAGCTAACACTGTATAATCTGCCATTGAGGTTACTCCTTACAATTGTATGTTTACTTTGCTGCTTCATGTTTCTTCTTGTTAAGCATGTCCATCATGAATATTTGTGTGCAGTTGTTGTATGGAACTGCTGGAAAAGAAATTGTTACAAGGCCTTGTGCACAGTTGGGCTCCTCTCATAGTGATTCTTTAGATGTATCACAAGAGAAAATAGTGATAATAAACAGATACGGAGAGAAACTTGTTGGTGTTTTGCGTGAAGCTGGATCTAAGGACCTTGTAGTGTTGTGCCACGGATTTAGGTCATCCAAGGAAAGTAGAACTCTGTTAAGTCTTGCTGATGCATTGACATCAGAAAATATCAGCATATTTCGTTTTGATTTTTCTGGCAATGGAGAAAGTGAAGGTACTTTTGAATATGGCAACTACTATAAAGAAGTGGACGATTTACGTGATGTGATCCTACATTTCTAAAAAACACAAGCGTGACACCCATGCTATTGCTGGCCACAGTAAGGGAGGAAATGTGGTTATCCTCTATGCATCCATGCATCACGATATATCTAAAGTTATTAACCTGTCTGGAAGGTTTAATCTGGAACGTGGAATTGGAGATCGTTTTGGAAATGATTACATGGAAAGGATTAATCAGCATGGTTTCATTGATGTGGAAGACAAAACAGGATGTATCATCTACCGCGTGACCAAAGAAAGTCTGATGGATCGTCTTAAGACAGATATGCACTCTGCATGCTTGTCTATTGACCCAAACTGCAGGGTGTTGACAGTACATGGTGCTAATGATGATGTTGTGCCATCAGAGGATGCTCTAGAGTTTGATAAGTATATAAGCAACCACGAATTGCATATTATTGAAAGAGCTAATCATAGATATGCATCTCATCAGCTTGGATTAGCTGCAATTGTACTGAAATTTATTAAATCTAGATGAGGGTAGGTGGAAACAAACGCAGCCATGGCATACCCTTTTTTGCCCCAATATTCTTTTTCTGCCAATATTCTTTGTAGATTAATTTTAGTGAACTGTTTTATTGAACGTTTATATTTTCAGAATATTACTAGATTTGGCCCGCTTTTTATAATATACAGGGCAAATGCATACACTTGCCTTCACAAATTGAGCTTAACTAACTTGATGGCATTAATGTGTCTTGACTCCTGCCAGCTATTAGTTGACTGCATTTTGTGGGAAAACATAAGCATGTCTGTTGCACAGGAAAATGAAGTTTTATAAGGTTTCTTTTTTCTATAGAAAACATATTTAAATATTATATGACCTTTCTCTAAATCAACGGCATGATTTTATATTTTCACTGTCCAGTTTGCCTGCTGAAGCTGCTCATCTCTCTACGACTAACAACTCTTTTTCTGAATGTTATCTTTTCTCAGCTCGCACCCAAGCAGAAGATCAGAATCAAGCTGCGGTCCTACTGGGTGCCGTTGATAGAGGACTCCTGCAAGAAGATAATTGAGGCTGCCAAAACAACCAACGCAAAGACCATGGGTCCCGTTCCTCTGCCCACTAAGCGGAGAGTCTATTGTGTGCTGAACTCTCCTCACGTGCACAAGGACTCACGGTTCCATTTCGAGATCCGGACTCATCAGCGGCTGATTGACATCATGTATCCAACTGCCCAAACAATTGATTCATTGATGCAACTCCAGCTCCCTGCCGGTGTGGATGTTGAGGTTAAGCTATGATTCTGTTGGAGCTGAAGTTTTCAAAGTTTGATGTAATGTGGTACTCATTTTCTGCAGCTTTTCTCTTTGATCCTTTTGTTGTCTGGGACTGAAAGAAATGTAGAGCCTGTACTAGGAAAGGTGTCCAGATTTGAATCTGTCTTGCATTTGAAGTATATTGAATGATATGGTAGTTGTATACTTGTATTGTACTGGCACCACTAAAATTTCTTCAAGCAAGTAGAATTTTATGACATGAGGACTGAATCAGGCGATTGATTGGCCAAATTCGTAAGCTTCTGATATAGGCTTCTCGTCCCAGTAGGATTGGTTGATTCGTCTGGATAAGCAAAATACTCATTCATGGTGGCTGCACTGATTCTGGGACTCAACAGACTGACGAAGCTTTCTATAACTTGTAAAGGAGACTTCTTTCTTCTTTTCTTTTGGCGGAATAACCAAATTAGTCCCTCATCTTTCGTCTCAAGCTCAATTTAGTCCCTCATAAATATGGTTGTGGGTGCTATCTTTATTATTAGAAATTAACTGCAGCACTCCACGTTGGCAACCCTAGTGAGCAAATGTGCTGGTGTCGCGAGTGTTGGCAGTTGGCATTGCTAGTGTAGGTAAAATTACTCCGTACTTTCACACTCAAGTTCATTGCATTTTGGTTTGAACAACATTATGCTATGCTAGGACATAATTGAGCACGGAGGATCTAGCGACAACATGATTTTTTTGTTGCTCCTTCATTTTGCATGAAAATATTGGCGTACATATGCCATACCCAAAAAACGACGTTTAGGACATGATTGCGGTAACCAATGATTTAATTAGGGGCGTTTTCCATCTTTGCCGTTCCTATTTTACGAGAAAGTAACTTTCATTCAACTGGCTAGTGCGTGGAGGCATGAGTCGGATGGAAGCCACATTTTTTTTTGTTGCCCCTTCATTTTGTGCCGCTTTAATTCCTGGCATGGCGTCCTTTTTCACGCAGATGGAAGCTGGAGTTGCTTTGATTTAAGCTTAGCGCAGCGTTTGAGTTTCTTGATTTTCTTATTCGTCTCTGGCTTTCGGATGGCTGATGGTACGCGCTCGTTTCGAATGAGAAGACCGACGTTTGAGCTGCCTGTACTCCACGCCACTGGCTTATTTATGCGGCAACTTGCTTTCTCTCTTCTCCAACGCCATTTACTCCCTTGCCTTCCCTGCCTTGCTTGGTGCTACTACGCCGCCATGAACTAGCTGTTCTCCTTGCACATCTACTACTACGGCATAATGGCCGATTACTTCTCTAGCTTTGATCTCAACGTTCGTGTAGAAGAAGAAGAGGACGGCAACCTGCCGTGGGATCTCAACGATGACAGCGGTAACCATCTATTATTAGTTCCATTTTGTTTTGTTGTTTCTATGTGCGCGATGGCAACCTACCGTGGGATCTCAACGACATCAACGGTTTCATGTTGCAGAGCATGAAGATGGCGATGGCAACACTGAGTTTCATCTCGCAGAGCATGAAGATGATGACGGCGGCGCTTTTTTGATCTGAACGAGCCTCCGTTGGAGCATGGCAACGGTATGTTCTTTTCTTTTTGGACATGAATTGTTTCATTGTATCCGGTGGAGCATGGCATGCATATTAGGTTCCATTCTCAGCATGCTCTTTCATTGTATCCGTTGAAGATGAATTTGGAGCTGTAGATTTTGATTATTTACATAACCCCCATGGTAAGCAAGTTAGCTTTTGCACTTTACTGATTTTGTAATAGCAGCAAGCATGTTAGAAGATGCAAACACGTTACAGTAGTAGCAAATTAGAAAAAGACATGTAGTACCTTATTGTTCTTTGTTTGCATCTTGTTTGAGCTTTGCAAGTTCCAACTTCTTTGCATCTCTGATCTTGTCCAACTTGTTGATGACGTGCTCTGGCAGAATGATGGTGTTACCATCCATTTGAAGTTTGGAGACATCTGGGATGTAGATCTCACAGTCGAACTTGTCCAGGTAGTCCAACCACTTTGCTATCATATCGTAGTCTTCATGTAAGAGGCCACAACGGGCACACCGGCGAGCTTCGCGGCAAGCTTGGTAGCATTCCTCTCCGAAGACGCCGCCGGCATGGAACGTGCCACAACGAGGACAATGCACCACCTCGTCCAGCTGGTCGAGTCCGGCGATTACATCGACGGAGTCGGCGAACACCGCATCGTACTCGGTTTGTACCTCGATGGAGTCCGGCAGCAGCTCGTCGAAGTCGGGCAGCTCGACGGAGTCCGGCACCTCCTCGACGGAGTCCGGCAGACACTCGTCGAGTCCTGCAGCACCTCGCCGAGTCCGGCAGCAAGACTGCGTCGAGTCTGCGCAGCACCTTTGTTTGAGTCCGACACCACCAATGAGGTTTGAGACGGTGTGCACGGCGGCGTCGACCGTGGCGGCGTGGCGACCACGACGTCCGTGGAGACCGGCGTGACGTCCGCGGAGACCGGCGAGCGTCGAGCGTGTGCGAGCACCTCCTCCGAGCGGCGATCGAGGCTCCACCGGCAGGAATCCATGGCGAAGGCTAAACCCTAACAAGGCGGCGGCGGCAGAGTTTCTGCGAGACGGAGCGATGGAGGAGCGAGGAGGCGTGGCTGCGTCGGGAGACGAAGAGAGGAGGCGCGCGTGCTTCTGCTGCAAGTACCGAGGGCGAGGAACGGAAGCGGCGGCGCATGCATGGCCAAGGGCATTCGCGTCCAATGTTTCCATCGGGAGGCCATAAGGTCAGCTTATACGAAAATGGGCTGTTGGCCCACGACGTCTAGTATTTTGAATACGGAGGGAGTAATTAGTATCATTAGATAGATCATTGAATCTATTTTCATATAAACTTATTTAGAGATTTAAATGTTGTTAATATTTTCTACAAATCTAATCAAACTTAAGAAAATTTGATCAGCATGAATACCATAGCGATATTTATTTTAGGACGGAGGGAGTATGTTATTGATCCAAGGAAAATTTAAGTCCCTTTCATAGCTAGAACCAATGCAATCTCTTGTGAAATTAGTTTTAATGCATTGCATGGCTGCCAGGCTAGCCAAAGCTACGGTCACCACTAGGCTTTGCTGACTGGAACTGCTAATATGGAGCGCCACATCAGCATACTGACGAAATTGAACCAAAATCGAAAGTTGAGGGAATAGTTTGGTCATTCTGAGAGTAGAATGACTTAATTGAACTTGAGACAAAAGATCCACCTTTTTCTTTTAGTGTCGTTTTTTCTGAAGAAAAGGAAGGCATAAAGTTGGTCTTTAGCAGCCCCAGCCTCCATAGTCCATGTTTCTACATCTTCTCTTTCCCTGTCCGAAACGATCGAGACGAGCGTTGCTTCGCGAGTAACATAAATCCATAAATTATGCATCGGGATGGGAATGGCCCATATGATCTTGTCTTCACGTTTCAGTGCTTTGGCCATCCTTTTCTTAATCTATCGGCTGCTTGGTCACTAGAAGAGTCAGATGCTAAAAGTAAATCTGATTAGGGCACTGAAGTGGCATATGCTTGTCTTCAGCTGTAGAGTAACCCAACGTCACCATCAACTTACTCATTTCATTATAGCACCATTTTCTGGATTTGTCTCGGTACGTTTTGAAAACCATAACATGGTTATATTATTTGAGTTAGATGACTTGAGCTTCTCATGCTAAAAGAAAAAATAGCTGTTTTTACTTGATATATTAAAGAAAAAAAAGACTTGATATAGTAAATATCAAGAAATTTAAAAAGAAAGTATTTTACGATCGCCACATATAGAAAAACAAACCTTGATATAGTACAAATACTTTATTTCTGGTGGTCGCACTGATCTGCGGATTCAAAAGACCATGAAGTTTTCTAATTTGTACGAAGGAGACTTCTTTCTTTTCTTTTGGAGTGTCTTTTCGACTGAACTACAACCGATCAGTCCTCAATGGTGCCACAAGTGGCTGTAAGAATAAGAAGACATACAACAAAGAATAGCGGTTGCCCCCCCTCCCCTCGGAGAGTGTTTCCTTTTCCTTATTGCTATGAGATTTTAAAACCACCTTTGAAGTGTCATTTTGTTTGTACATAAACTCTCTTTCTCTATCTTAATTGAAAGGCAGAGCTCCTGACATTGCATTAAAAAAAGTTGGAAGGATCACCAAGGCTTAGAGATTATTAAAAAAATAGTATTACTGTAGCTTGTGAACTTTTCAAAATGTAATATAAAGGACCAAACAAGGCGACCAGAGGGGGGATGAGTGTGAGTGTTGACGTTGGATATGATCCAAATCACACACCAGCAGGGCCTTGGACGCCCGGGCCGCTATGGACCGAAGAACGTAGCGAAGATGTCACTCTTTCGTGGTGAAGAAAGGAGATGTTTACAAGAAAACCACCAAAGGATAACCAACGTGTTTGCGTGACGAAGAACCGGCTAGTTTTTAGGCCTAGCAAAGAAACCGTCGAAGCTCTCGCCCGGGAGGGACCCCGTCAGGGCAAGGACGTCGTCGGGTTGCCCTAGATCGGCCGGCAAGCCTAGGGCGCCATCCTTGGTTGTGGATCAAGGGATGAACAGCATGGAGGTTGGAGAAGAGGGTAAAAAAGAGAGGTAGTAGATTGATTTTGACGACTAGATAGTTGTGAACTCAATCGGTCACGATCCTCTCGTATATATAGAGCGGGTGGTCTTATCCCAGTAGCAACATACAATAGTATGACCAGATTGGAATTTGAGCAAAATATTTATATTTTGTATCTTATTGATCATGTTGGAGAAGTGTATGTTCTTGATTTGCATGATGTTACCCTTCGTCTCCAGGAAACGATCAACAGTAGGTGTCGAATCACCTGAAAATGCTTCGACAGCTGCTGGAATAGAGGAAGTCGGCTTAGCCCGACTGAAAGTTGGCTAGGCCGACTTGGGCACTAGTAGGCAAAGAAACAACAGGGATAGTCGGCCTAGCCGACTCAAGGCAGGCAGCAGTGGCAGTCGAATTGGCCGACTGGGAATTCGGCCT